GATTTCTTATGTACCAACCAAGGGCAAATCATGTACCCCAAATAGTCCCGGACTTACAACCATTTGCTTAAGGACCGTTTGCTGTTAAAACAGCACTGGGGAAAAAATTTCACTTATGACCATTTTTTCACACTTATGACCATTGCAGCATCCCAATGGTCACATGATTAAAATTTGGACGTGGGCCGCTGACCTGTATTTATGATGGTTGCACTATCCCGGGGTCAAGCGATCTCCTTTTGCGACCTTCGGACAAGTAAAGACAACGGGGGAGCCAGATTCAGTTAATGCATTACAGGTAGTTCTCTACTTATGACCGCAACTGAGCCCAAAATTTCCAACAGGTAAGACTTACGACCATAATTCTGGGCTCAATGATAATCATAAAATCAGACCTACCTACCTGTACAGGTAAATCTGTACCTACGACCACAACTGAATCCAATATTTATGTTGCTAAGCGAGACAGCTGTTCAGTGAGTTTCGCCCCATTTTACGATCTGTCTTGCCACCGTTGTTAAGCGAACCGCCGCAGTTGTTAAGTTAGTAGCACGGTTGCTAAGTGAATCTGGCTTCCCTGTGGACTTTGCTTGTCAGGTCGCAAAAGGGGATCGGGTGACACCCACCCCCCAAGGACGCTGCGACTGTCATAAATATGAGCCACTTACTATGCGTCTGAATTTTGATCGTCGTTAAGTGTGAAGACCGGTCATAAGTCACTTTTTTCAGTACTGGTGTAACTCCGAACAGTCACTAAAGGAATGGTCGTAAATCAAGGACTGACTGCTTTGCAATGCTGGCCCGTGATGGTATCAGAATAATGGGGGAAGATGCCATAAACTTTGGCATAATTAGGATTATGGAAAGTTGTATCTTTCATGGGTTTAAAGTAAGAGGAGTTTGCAGCAAAAAAAAAAGAGGTTTAAAGTACAAGAGGGATAGAGCCTCTGTCGATCTTTGACCTTTGACCCCCCAACCTGAGGAATAAACCAATTTTTCTCAACCTCAGTAAATTTTAAGACGTGTGGACTTCAATTCCCAGAATTCCTCAGGGAATTCTGAGAGCTCAATTCCGCAAATCTGAAAACTGCTGAGGTTGGAAAACACTATAATTTCCATTGATCCTTGCTCTTCTGGGCAGGGGGCATTAAATCAGTGGAGATTCTTTACAGGAGATTTTTTATTATTTATATTATTATCATTATCATTATTATAATGATATATTATAAACTTCTATTCATTAAACATGAAACTCAGTCAACAGAACATTTAAAATGTCACAAATATTATTGACTAGCGCTGATGGTTGATACGGGTTGCCACCAGCATCATCTTCATCATCATGATTATTATTATCTCTTTTATTCATTAAACACGAAACCCAGTCAACTGATTATTTAAAAATGTGTCACAAATACGAGTGACTGGTGCTAATGGTTGATACGGGTTGCTGCCAACGTCCTAAGTATCAACCAAGTATCTTCTTAAAATATATTATTATTATTATTATTATTATTATTATTATTATTATTATTATTATTTAATCTTTAGTGAGATTCACAGCCTTTGAGGCTGGTTAATAGCTCAGCAGCTCGAGTCCTAACCAAGGACCTAGGAACTGTTAAGGTATCGTCGGAGGATGTAAGCTGTTCCGAGTAAGGTGGTTTTTTGTAGAGTCAAAATGTTTAAGTCCGGCAAATTTAGAATTTCTAAATAGCGGGGTAGCCCTTTGGGTATTGCCCCAAGGGCTCCAATTATAATCGGGACAACACACGATTTCTTTTTCCACAGTCGCTCAACTTCAATTTGCAAGTCCCGGTATTTTGTGATTTTTTCTTGCTGCTTATCTTCAATCCGTGCATCACCAGGTATTGCAATGTCAATGAACCATACTTTTTTCTTTCCAACTATTGTTATGTCAGGTGTGTTGTGGACCAAGTGCCTGTCAGTCTGAATCCTAAAGTCCCACAAGATCTTGAGTTTCTCATTCTCTAAAACTTTCTCAACCTGATGTTCCCAGTGGTTTTTGCTGGACTGAAATCCAAACTTCTGGCACAATTTCCAGTTATCTTAGCAACGCGGTCATGGCGTTGTAGGTAGTCAGTTTGTTTATCAAACTGTTTGTTTGTCTATTATTATTATTATTATTGTTGTTGTTGTTGTTGTTGTTGTTGTTGTTGTTGTTGTTGTTGTTAGTTAATCTTTGGTGAGATTCACAGCCTTTGAGGCCGGTTAATAGCTCAGCAGCTCGAGTCCTAACCAAGGACCTAGGAACTGTTAAGGTGTCGTCGGAGGATGTAAGCTGTTCCAAGTAAGGTGGTTTTTTGTAGAGTCAAAATGTTCAAGTCCGGCAATTTTTTATTATTATTATTATTGTTGTTGTTGTTATTGTTATTGTTATTATTATTATTATTATTACACTAATCATTTTGTAAGCACTGCAATGGTTAAAGAATTATTTCGCTATCATCAGCCCCTGCTAAAGGATTCTATATTCCTTTATAGAATTTGGTTACGTTTGGGGATTTAAAGTTCCCAAACATAACCAAAGCATTGGAAAATGCACAAAGCTGCATTTACAAAATGCAAATTCTTCAGAATTCGGATTAGCTTGAGAAATACACACAAGAGCTAATTTAGGCAAAACTCTCAGATAAATTATTTGGGGAAAAGGGGCTACTATGAAATTCAGCACTGTGGCTTGGAAATGAATTGTGTGGAGGAATGTCTTGTGTGTGGCTAATCCGAAACGGTTTAATCGAACCGGGTTAGCATGATGTATGATCCCGGTCATGCCCATGTACAGGAAGCTTTAACTATCATTCCATCGATCTAAGTGTTTATTAATGACCAGAGGTGCTAAAATATGTTTGGGCAAACCTGAATAACTTTTTGTTTTATCCACAGTGCAAGCTTTGGCAAACCCAAAACTCACCACATCACTTCCATTTATTAATTTAATTCGATTATTTTATTTTATTTAATCTCCTGCTTGGGTGGGAGGACGGTTGGACTAGATGACTTACAAGGTCCCTTCCAACTCTGTTAATCATTTAGTTTAATTTAATTCTTTAATTTAATCTGATGGCGGAATTTAATCTAATTATTTAATTTAATTTATACCCTGCCCATCTCACTCCCAAAAACTCGCTTTTTTGCTTTCCAACCCTGCTTAATCCAGCCAACCATGGAAAATTTTTAAGATTTAAGGGGCAGCTTCTCTCCAAATGGGGGGAAATTACACAATCTTTCGCACCATCAACTACTAAACCAAACAGGCTGAGTTGGGGGGGGGGAGGGAAAATCCCCAAGGCCAGCAGAAATATATTAACCCTGGTTAAAACCAACCTAGTTCATTAAATCCTGGCCTTCTAATCCCCCTGGTTTAAATGGGTTAAGAAGAGGAGTCAGCGGAACGGATTTCTGGACCGGGATTCCTGCATTGCCCAACACACCCTGACCCAGTAGAGAACTTGAGAGGGTGACTTTGAGACTCTCTTTTCTCTCTCTCTCCCTCTCTCTGTCTCTCTCTCTCTGTTTCTCTCTGTGTGTCTGTGTGTGTCTCTCTCTGTGTCTGTTTCTCTTTCTCTCTCTCTCTCTCGATCTCTTTTTCTTTTTGTCTCTCTCTCTCTTTCTCTCTCTCTGTCTCTGTTTCTCTCTGTGTGTCTTTCTCTCTCTCTGTCTCTCTCTTTCTCTCTCTCTCTCTGTCTCTCTGTCACTGTTTCTCTTTTTTCTCTATCTCTCTCTCTTTTTCTCTCTTTCTCTCTCTGTCTGTTTCTCCCTCTTTTCCTCTCTCTTTCTGTTTTTTCTCTCTCTCTGTCTCTGTTTTCTCTCTCTCTCTCTCTCTCTCTGTGTCTCTTTCTTTCTCTGTCTGTCTCTCTCTGTGTCTGTCTCTCTGTGTCTCTCTGTCACTCTTTCTCTTTTTTCTCTATCTCTCTCTGTCACTCTCTGCCTCTTTTTCTCTCTTTTTCTCTCTCTCTCTTTCTCTCTCTGTGTCTCTGTTTCTCCCTTTTCCTCTTTGTTTTTTCTCTCTCTCTGTCTCTCTGTTTCTCTCTCTGTGTGTCTCTTTCTTTCTGTCTCTTTCTTTCTCTCTGTGTGTCTGTCTCTCTGTGTCTCTCTGTCACTCTCTGTCACTGTTTCTCTTTTTTCTCTATCTCTCTGTCTCTGTTTCTCTTTCTCTGTCTCTGTCACTCTCTCTGTCTCTTTCTCTCTCTCTCTCTTTCTCTCTCTCTATCTGTTTCTCCCTCTTTTTCTCTCTCTGTTTTTTCTCTCTGGGTCTCTGTTTCTCTCTGTGTGTCTTTCTTTCTTTCTCTCTCTGTCTGTCTCTCTCTTTCTTTCTCTCTGTCTGTCTCTCTGTCACTGTTTCTCTTTTTTTTCTCTCTCTCTCTGTCTCTCTGTTTCTCTCTCTCTTTCTCTCTGTTTTTTCTCTCTCTCTCTCTGTCTCTGTCTGTCTGTCTCTCTTTCTCTCTGTGTCTGTCTGTCTGTCTCTCTCTCTCTCTGTCCCTCCCCAGCCTACCTTACAGGGTCGTCGTCCAGCAGATCCAAAACTTCCACGGGGCTCCTTTGGGAGCCGGACCTCCAGAAACCAGCTCCCCAAGAGCAGGGCAGGGCAAAGCAAGGCTGCGCTCTCCCCACTCCCGAGCCCGATCAGCGCCGCCTGCCTCGCCTCGGGCTGGCTAAGGGAAAGCAGCGGCGGCAGCGGCGGCAGCAGCGAAGAGCCTTTGTTAGCCGAGCGGCGAATGAATGAACGACCCAACGCGGCGGAGCTGGGCTGGGCAAGGGGCTGGGCAGGGACGCCCCAAGCGCGATCGGGGCGGCCGGGCATTGTTTCCCCGTCTGCCTGCTTGCTTGGCCCGGGATCGCAGCCCGACCTTCGCCCTACCTCCCTACCCAGGCTGGGCATCGCGATCCCGGAGCCTTGCCTTGCCCGGTCCCCGCCGCCTCCCTCCCTCCACGCCCAGCCGGGAGAAACTTGCCTTCTTCCCCCCCGCAAGACTCACCGGCTTCTCGGCTTGCCAGCCTTTGCCCGAACCGGCCGGTGCCCGGTCCTCCGCCTCCTCCTCGCCCAGGCCGGCGGGGCTAGGCGCGCCCCCTCCTTCTTCGTCCTTCTGCTGCTGCTGCTCCTCCTGTTGCGGAGCTCCGTCCTGCAAGGCGGCTAAGCGGCGACTGGCGCGCCGGCTGCTTCTTACCTTTGCCCACCCCGCGGACCTCGCCAGGGCCCGCCTCCTCGGCCGCTCGGACCGGCTCTGCCATTGGCTGACGGGCATGTCCCGCAAACGGCTGGAGCCCCGCCTACCCGCCCCGCTGCTTTGAATAGGGCGTTTGGCAAAGGAGGAGGAGGGAGGCCCAGCGAGGAGGGGAAGGGGCGAGGCCGGCTGGAAAGGCAGAGCGGGGGAGAGGGGGGGGTAGTTGGATGGAATGGAAGTAGAAATCAGAATTAGAATTAGAATTAGAATCAGAATAGAATAGAATAGAATAGAATAGAATAGAATAGAATAGAATAGAATAGATAGATAGATAGAATAGAATAGATAAATAGAATATGATGAAAATAATAGGAATAGAGATAATATAATAGAAATAGGAATAGAATAGCATGTAGAAAATAGAAATAGAATAGAATAGAATAGAATAGAATGAAAGAAATAATAGGAATAGGAATACGAATAGAATAGAATAGAATAATAGAATAGAATGAAAGAATAATAGGAATAGAATAGGAATAGGAATAGAATAGGATAGCATGTAGAAAGTAGAAATAGAATAGAATAGAATAGAATAGAATGAAAGAAATAATAGAATACGAATAGAATAGAATAGAATAATAGAATAGAATGAAAGAAATAATAGGAATAGAATAGGATAGCATGTAGAAAGTAGAAATAGAATAGAATAGAATGAAAGAAATAATAGGAATAGAATAGAATAGAACAGAATAATAGAATAGAATGAAAGAAATAATAGGAATAGAATAGGATAGCATGTAGAAAGTAGAAATAGAATAGAATAGAATGAAAGAAATAATAGGAATAGAATAGAATAGAATAGAATAGAATATAAATGAAAGAAATAATAGGAATAGAATAGAATAGGAATAGAATAGGATAGGATGTAGAAAGTAGAAATAGAATAGAATAGAATGAAAGAAATAACAGAATAGAATAGAATAGAATGAAAGAAATAATAGGAATAGAATAGGAATAGAATAGAATAGCATGTAGAAAACAGAAATAGAATAGAATAGAATGAAAGAAATAATAGGAATAGAATAGAAATGGAATAGATGTAGAAAATAGAAATAAGAATAGAATAGAATAGAATGAAAAAGAAATAATAGGAATAGAATAGAAATAGGAATAGAATAGCATGTAGAAAAGAAATAAATAGAATAGAATAGAATGAAATAAATAATAGGAATAGAATAGAAATGGAATAGAATAGAATGATAGAAATAATAGGAATAGAATGAAAGAAATAATAGGAATAGAATGGAATGGAACGGAACAGAATGGAATGGAATAGAATAGAATAATCGAGTTGGAAGGGACCTTTGAGGTCTTCTAGTCCAACCCGCTGTTCAAACAGGAGACCCTCTACAATTTCAGATAAATGGTTGTCCAGTCTCTTTTTGAAAACCTCCAGCGTTGCCGCACCCGCAACATTACACGCCTGAGTTTATACTATATATTAATTCTGTGACTTTTAACTTGAAAGGAGAGACAAAAATGGTACATAAAGACGTACATATATCACATTCTCGTGTCAGCCATTCAGTCCTCGAAGAGAATCACAGCAAGATAACGAGGCTAATGAGCGCAATGACCCTTGGCGACAAGAATCCAAATTAAAGGATCTCCAACAGACAAGATTCATGTCTAGCTGGGCTCGAGCATCGTCAATAAACGGGATCCCACCAGTTCTCTGAATAATTGGATACGTTATCATATCACCCTTGTTGCTTCAAAATGCATTTTCTAAAACCATCAGTAGGCATTTATGTTCCTGTAACTTCCCTCCCTCTCTCCGAACTGGGTGATTTTGGGGCCAATCTCCAGGAGACGGCGAGTTCTAGTTCCGCTTTAGCCATGAAAGTCGGCTGGGTGACTTTGAGCCAGCCACTCTCAGCCCAGCCCACCTCACAAGGGGGTTGTGGGGAATGTCGACTGGCGGCCCCCAGGGGGAGAGCCTTCTCTGTGGGGGCACCTATGATCTGGAACGAGCTCCCCCCGGAGATACGGAGGATCCCGGATCTGCGTACCTTCCGTCGCGCGCTTAAGACGTTCCTATTTCATCAAGCTGGCCTGACCTAAATTTTCCTCTTTTAAATGGGAATTTTAAATTTGGTTTTAAATTATTGGGGTTTTAAAATGGTTCAGCCAAATTTATTTAATTTGTTTTATCTCTATTTTAAATTTTGTATCTGTATGTTTTATTTTATGGCTGTTCACCGCCCTGAGTCCTTCGGGAGTAGGGCGGTATATAAATTTAATTAATAAAAATAAATAAATAAAAATATTAAGTATGTTTTCTGCCTTGAGTTCAGGGGTGAAATGCTCCCGGTTCGGACCGGATCGCCCGATCCGGTAGCAATGGAGGCGGGTGGTTCGGAGAACCGGTAGCAAAAATCCCTGCCCCCCCCCCTCAGCTGAGCCACACAATCATCAGAGGCTTTTTTTTTTTACTTTTAAAAGCATTTTTTCTACAACGTCTTCAGCCGAAAAAATGCTTTTAAAAGTAAAAAAAAAAAAGCCTCTGATGATCGTGCGGCTCAGCTGGGATCGTCAGAGGCTTTTAAAAGCATTTTTTCTACAACCTCTGAAGAGGTTGTAGAAAAAATGCTTTTAAAAGCCTCTGACGATCCCAGCTGAGTTGCCTGATCGGCAGAGGCTTTTTTTCTTTTAAATGCCTCTGACGATCCCAGCTGAGTTGCCTGATCGGCAGAGGCTTTTTTTCTTTTAAATGCCTCTGACGATCCCAGCTGAGTTGCCTGATCGGCAGAGGCTTTTTTTCTTTTAAATGCCTCTGACGATCCCAGCTGAGTTGCCTGATCGGCAGAGGCTTTTTTTCTTTTAAATGCCTCTGACGATCCCAGCTGAGTTGCCTGATTGGCAGAGGCTTTTTTCTTTTAAATGCCTCTGACGATCACAGCTGAGTTGCCTGATCGTCAGAGGCTTTTTTCTTTTAAATGCCTCTGATGATCCCAGCTGAGTTGCCTGATCGTCAGAGGCATTTAAAAGAAAAAAAAGCCTCTGCCGATCAGGCAACTCAGCTGGGATCGTCAGAGTCTTTTGAAAGCATTTTTTTACAACCTCTTCGCCGAAGAGGTTGTAGAAAAAATGCTTTTAAAACTAAAAAAAAATAAAATAAATGACAGCCACACACCACCCAGTCACATTACCCCACCACCGCCAAGCCACGCCCACAGATCCGGTAGTAACAAATTTTAAATTTCACCACTGCTTTGAGTTATTTATAAAAATAATACAGGGATATATCAATATAAATAAAACTGCAAAGTGGACGGATTTGATTGCAACCGTGGATGTCCTAAAAGAGCATTCTGGACAGAATCTTCCAAAGTGATCATGAAGAATTGACACAGGATTGACAGCAATCAATCAATTGTTCAAAGGACAGGTAGTCCTTGACTTTACAACAGTTGATTTAGTTACTGTTCAAAGTTACTGAAAAAAATATGACTGATCACTTATTATTGTCACAATTACAGCCCCACGATCACATGATCAAAATTCAGGTGTTTGACAACTGAGTCATATTTATGACGGTTGCAGTGTCCTGGGGGTGGGGGGTGTCATGTGCTTAAAGACCGCCTTGCTAACTTAACAACTGCCGTGATTCACTTAACAACTATGGCGAGAAAGGTTGTAAAATGGAGCAAAACTCACGTAACAAATGGTTCTGGCTTCGCAACAGAAGTTCTGGGCTCAATTGTGGTCGTAAGTTGAGGACTACCTATAAATAGATGATTCCTAACCCTGCTTGCCTTGAATTTTTGCTGCTCGCAATTTTCTGGCGGAGAACCACTTCCTTACTGGAGAGTGCTATTTATGCATTAGCATTACCCACTTAAAAGAAAGAAATCCAAGTGTGTTAATTAGCATCAACATGTTGTAGTCCATTTAATTAGTTAATTGATAGCTCTGAATTCCAACATTCTAGCTGGGTGTTAGTTGAACTGAACGCTGCAAAGATTTGCAGATCGCTTCTCTTGATTCTATGCATAATCTACAAGCAGTCCTTGACTCTTTCTCCTCCTCCTCTCTACAACCCTACTCTCTTCTCTCTACAAACCCTACTCCTTTTCAGCACTGATAACGTTACCTAGTTGGGTAATAAAACGTTTGCAAGAAAACAATCAAGCTCAGAGAGCACCAAGGATCCCACAATTCTCCTCCTCCTCCTCTTTTTCCTCCTCCTCTCCCTCTTCTTCCTCCTCCTCTCTACAAACCCTACTCCTTTTCAGCACTGATAACGTTACCTAGTTGGGTAATAAAATGTTTGCAAGCTCAGAAAGAACCCAACAGTTCAACCCGGAGCTACAAATATTCTCTTGTGTTGGAGAAAAATAGTAATTTCAATAAATGCAATTTTATTTGATATGCATTGAATTATTATTGTTTTAATTGAGAACTAAGTGGCCTGGCACCTTAAGGACTAAATAGGGTAATCCTGAGGTTACCTAGTTGGGTAATGAAAGGTCTGCAAGAAAACCACCAAGCTCAGAGAGCACCAAGAACCCCACAGTTCAACCCCGAGTTACAAACATGGAGAAAAATTATATGCGTGTGTGTGTGTCTGTGTGTGTGGTCTTTGGTTATTCAGGTTTTCTCCCGCATAAAATTGGAAGTGTCTTGGCGACGTTTCGACGAAGTCTCATTCGTCATCTTCAGGCTGGTGTTTTCGGCTTCGTGCTTCTAGGAGCAATATGCTTCTAGGAGCAATGTGTTGTGAGCCAAACAACAGCAATGCAGATCACCAGCTCAAATCCCCCTGCAACTCAGACTAACACGAGCACAACCAAGCCCCCACCTAAACAGAACACACCCCCATCCAATCAGAGCACAGCCAACCCCCCATCCAATCAGAGCACAGCCAAACCCCCAACCAATCAGAACACACCTCCACCCAATCAGAACACAGCCAAGCTCCCACCCAA